CCCCAAAACCCCAAAACCCCAAAACCCCAAAACCCCAAAACCCCAATAATCTTGAAAATAATTGAACTAGAAGGTGAGCTTTACACTTGTTTATTTCTGCTTATTGGCTTTCTTAGCTCTTTTCTCTAAGATTTTCCTTCTCTTCTCTTTCAAATCCTCATCCATGTAGGAGCTCCCCTTTGGAATAAAAAATTTTCAGTAAATAAAATACCCAATACAGAAGGGAACTATGAGAAGGAGAGTTGTGTAGGCCAACAAGAAAAGGATTGGATATTCTAGAGAAAGCCTGTTGAAATAGTTCTGTACCCTTCCATAGTATGAATCATTCTTGCTATTTCTCTTTTTAGACTTTGATTTTGGCTTCTTGATCTTCTTAGCTTTTCCAAATTTCTCAAACCAAGGAATTCCATCGTAACATTGAGCATTCTCTTTATTAACTTGAAGTCCCATTTGAGTTCAAAAATCAACTGAATCTTCATAAATTTCCTCGAGTTTTGAGCAAATTAAGGAATTTTTGCTTCAAAATGATATCTCTCCAGCACCAAGATCATTTGCTCTTTTATCTCCTGTAAAAAAGTCTTCTCTACAAGCTTGGTACCACTCCTCTCACTGATGAGGGCATAGTCCTTTAATAAGTCCAGTGCTAATCCCTCCGTCACAAAGAGATCAGAAGTTTTTGGTGGAAACTTCAGCACATTTTTGAGTCATGTCTCGATTGTTAACTCTCATCACACCCACTTTACTCCTAATAAACTCTGTATTTGTGTTATTACATCAAGTATTATGCGAATGCTCAATACAAAAGCTTGAGTCTGATCCAACATCTTTAGGTTCAGAATAGCCGTATTTTCCTAAATGATTCATTGAATCCAATCATTTCAGCGTATTGCCTGTATTTTCCTTCCTAGGCTTCTTTCTAGCTTCCACCTATAGGTCAGCCAGCCTGTCTTACCGAAAACAAGATGGTTCATAGCCAAAAAATTGCTCAAAATATTGTAAAAGCTCTGGACATTTTCAATGATTATAACAATAATTGGGGTTTTGGGGTTTTGGGGTTTTGGGGTTTTGGGGTTTTGGGGTTTTGGGG